ATTTTTTTCTAAACAAATTAGCAAATTAATTAAATAAATTAGATTATTTCATAATTTTAATTTTAAAGCCCAAATCATTTTTAAAACCCATTAGCCCATTTTAATTTGAAGCAAATGAATATAATTTATGTAGTTTTACTGTAATATTAATATCTACTTTTTAGTATTTGTATGCATTGAATTAATATTATTGGACGATTAGTTATTTATATGTTTTTGAATTGAGCTATGTTAATTTGTAAAAGTTACGAATGAAATGTTATTAGTTGTATTTATGTAGTGTTGTTGAAAATATTAAAAAATTTAATTATGGTACGGAACCGAAAGGAACCGAACCTACCCGAATCGAACCGAACCCGAACGGTTCCATAATTATATTTGGACCCGACGGATCCATTTATTAAATACCCGAAAGTTTTGGATCGGTTTTGGGTCTCTTCAAAACCGAACCGAACCGACCCACAGACAGCTCTAGTAGAAACAGACATATATATTTTTTTTTTATAAATACAAGGTAAAATTGCACATATTTTTATTTTTTTAAAAAATTTGATTGTCAAGAAATTTAAATAAAAAAAAAGAGCGGCTCGACTCGACTCAGCTAGGCCATAGCCAAAGCCCGAACCTCAGAGTTTTGGCTCATTGCTATAATAATGAAATTGAACATCAAAATTTCAATCCAATATGCAATTGTCAAGATTTCGCTGCCAATTTTTTATTTTTCGTACACTAAAAATAAGTGTAAAATTGAAACTCTCCCGGAAAGCATGACATGACGACATTAGTTGACTAGTTTAGTGCTATTACTGTTAGTTGTCTTCATTTTTCCATTTCAAACACGCTTGGGCCCCACAAAACTTGGGTAGACCGGACCCAACCCGGATTTATCCCTTCGACCGACATTTTCCTCAATTTCCTCCAACAAAACTGAACTAGATTTTTGGTGCAACTGAAAATAAAAATATAATGAAAGAAAAAACAGTTCTCTACAAATTAATTTCTGATTTCCCTGAAAGTTTATATTTACTTATTCTACTTATAAGTAATTTATTTTTAAAATAAGCCCACCAAATATGCTCTATCTAATTTCTTTCTAGACACCAAAATGGATCGATGGGCTTAAATTTTTCGATTTTCTTGGCATATATATAGATAAATTCCAAGTGCCGTTGCTTGAATTATACTAAATAATATGACATATTAAGTCAAAAAAACCTAATTGGTATCCACCAAAATCTTGTCTAGGCATATTAAGAGATCGTTTGGTAGAATTTTTGCTTTTATTCCAGCTTCTCATAGAAGAGCTCACGAAGCTATCAACTTCCTCGAAAAGCATTTTTAGTCACACACAACACTTTCAAAAAATTATTTAAACACGTTCAAAAGTAACTCCTTAATCTGAAAAGCAACTTTTGATAACTTTCAGCCTATACCATTTTGTTCTCGAATAATAATTAACTTGATTATATATGTTCTCCAAGACGTTGGATTCTATCCACTAATTTTCTTTCTATTTATTTTTCTTTTTCATTTTTTTGTTTGGTTCTCTCCTCTTTGATATAGAAAAGTGATTATTATTTTTGCGAAGTTGCATGTCCAAGGTATTTGTACATATAAGTGGTAATTGTAAATTGGAAAATAGCAAAAAATTCCATGACATAATTTTTTCAACTGAAGATTTCATAAATCTAGATTTTCTGATGCTAACTGCTATTTTCACCACTTTTTTTAGGCAAGAGCATAGCTTATCACTTGCTCATATTCAACAAATCCAGCGTCTTTGGCCTTGAGAATGCTCCAGCTAGGGGAGAAGAGTCAGAGCAAGCGATTGGACCAATCGGAATTGGAACCGAGTAATAGCTTTCAAAATTGTGACAAGAAGTGAAACGCGTATAAAGTCATGGTCAGAAACCTTTATTACACCCTGTTTGATTCACATTCTTATAAAAATTCATTTTTTCAAGACTCATTTCCAACAACTCATTATTCAATAAAATAATATTACACACAAAAATGCATTCGTCACTCAATAATGTGCATCAAACAGGGTGTTAGTTAGTATTCGCTATATGTAACAAGTTGACTACTGATAA